ATATATTAGGTAGAGATGTCTGAATCTAGTACTGGTTATGCTATTTCCATATTTGTCAATCGATGCATTTGGGGCCCAGATGGATCTATACTTGGTACATCTAAATGCTTTATTTTCAAGCACTTGAGTTTTTTTTTTTTTTTTCTTAGGAGTTGTGCTTTGTTGCTTATCTTACATATTCTTTTTCATAAGTGTTGCTTTCTCAAAACACATTGTTCAGATATATACTTACAATCCAGCAAGAGAATTAGGACAACATTTGGAAGTAAGATCAGTTATATGTTCAATTTTTTCTAATAATAAGACCAATGTTTAAGTTCCTGATGACTTTTCCCCTGTTCCAGATTGATGCTCCTGTTGGTAGGAACCCAAAATGGTAGAAACTTTAAAATTCATTCCACAAACATAAGTTACATCATGAAGTACAATAAAACCCAAAATGGTAGAAACTTCCGTTCAGTTTCCCAAAATACAATAAAGTACAAAAGTTACATCATAAAGTACAAAATGATAGAAAATACAATGAAATACACCATCGCTTTCAAATTATTTTCCATCATTTCAAGCCTTCGACCATAGTCATTTTCCATGTCATCAAGCTTTATCCTTACATCATTATTCTACTATTATAGCATCACAAGCTCTAGTGTTGGAACAGATTATGGACGTAATGTCTTCATCATCTTCATCCACAAACTTGAAGCAATTGCAATGGGCAGTGTTACTCTACAATGCATGATAATCAACTAGTTGAATAAGATAAATTAATTTGTCACTACTAAAGGATTACTTTTTCCAATACATACTTACATATTTTGATGGGAAAACAAAAAACAAACACTCTTGATTTCCATTCTCATTAGTTCTTACAATATATATGGCAGCGGTTCTTCCACAATTGCACAGTCTCGGTTGTAATCTTATGTTGTTATTGTTAGAAGAAAAAGCCATTTTTTAAATCTGCATACACAATACAAACAATCTCACAACTGTAGGTGCTGTAAGCTTTGTTGTTTTACTATTTATTATTTAGTTTCTTTCGAAAGATTGTCATGTAGTTGATTGATGTGTTTTTCACTCTATGGAAGTGTCCAATACATCCCCAAAAAGATGTCTCATACAATTTACAAATAATACACAACAACCATATGGACTGACAATATTCCTTGTAACAATCTCATAATCAAGTGTAACACTTAAAGCATAATACAATAATGGCAAGATCATGCTAGTAGAAGCCCCAAAATCCCAAAGTCTCATAGACAAGAAATTTGTAATGTTGTGCTATGCTTGTGTTTGAAGCAGGATTAGCATTCATGTGAAAATAAATGATTTGTAAAGTCTCATACACAAGGTCTAAATTAAATGATTTGTAATTAGACACATATGGCAGTTCTATGCTTGTGTTTGTAGCAGGATCAACACTTACGAGAAAATATTTATTACAGGGAGGTCTTTCCACCAAATAATATAGAGTTATGCCAATAACAGAAGTTGCTTCTTCATCTTTCTATGTGGATGGTCCTAAATCATAAAAATTTTATAACAATACAATTTTGTCAGTCATTTTCTTTTCACAAGCAAACAAATATATGAACATAGCATTTGAATATCATATTCTCAGAGGAGAGGGACAGAGAATCATATCAATGTCCATGTTGCCCACATGTCAAATATTTATCTTTTTTGTTTCATTTTCTTTTAGAAGCTTAGAAGCCAAATGAAACATAAGGCTCTAGTTCTTTACATTGAAATTTTATAAATAAATAAATAAAATACTCCATGTGTGGTACTTGTGTGTGACATTAACAGAAGGAGGTCTCTTTACCAAAATAATATAGAGTTATGCCCATAACAGAAGTTGTTTCTTCATCTATGTATGTGGATGGTCCTAAATTATATCATATTTCTAGAGGAGAGGGACGGAGAGAGAGATAGAAAGTAAAATAAAAAAATAAAACACAACAAACTAATCTGAGATGGGAACTAATCCAGAAGGTCATAGCACTACAAATATCAAGTCAATAACACCCAAATCACAGCCCTAATTTTTGCCTGTTGGAATCCCAAATCAAAACCCCAATTTTGAAATTTCAAATCTATTTTGTCCATCACAACCCTAACTTTTTAATTTCAGCGTTTCGAGGATGAACCTAGTTCATCTATGGCCTGAGAACCCACATTCTCCTCAACAAATTTCTTCGCTAATGCATATGGTGGTCACGGTGGAGTTATGGTTCGTGAAGCAGAGAAAATGAGGGGTGGAGCGGTGGGTTAGGTTTAGGGGTCGCTGTCGTTGGGAGTGGGTCACCGTCAGGAGTGGTCACCGATGCAGCTGGCTTCGGTGGAAGAGAAAGGGTCAGTGTGAGGTTGAGTGAGAGTGAGAGTGAGAGTGACTCGAATCTATAACCTATGTGTATATATAGCAACGAGAGAGACAGTGTGAGTGTGAGGCTGAGATCAGCCGTTACAAGGAGGAAATGAATGAGGATATTTAAGGAAGGGATATGAACTCTATCAATTGACGCAAGTAGCACTTATAGATTTTTTTTTTTTTTTTGAACACCCATGTAGCACTTTATAGATTATAGATCTGATTTTGTCCACTCAATTCACTTCCTTGATTTTCTCACTAAAATCACTGTTTTGACTAGGATCTAAAATAATCAACCCAAGTAAAAAATAAAATAAAACAACTCTAAAGCCTCGTTTGGAAATATATTACTTTAGTAATTTTTTGACTTTTTATGAAAATATTTGCAAAAAAGTATAGAGAGTAATGTAACAACTTATACTGATTTTTTTGACTTTTTAACTAAAACAAAAGGTTACCAAATGAGGCTTAAAGCATAAATAATTTAAAGTAATTGAATTTTTATAAAAGTACAAGTTAAAACTAATGTTTCATATCATAATTTCACTTACATCAAATACAAATATAGGCTCAGTTGTATTTTTATGAAAGTTAATTATTTTGAATTTTATCTATTTAAATGCAATCAATTATAAAGGTAAATTATAGTAGCAATAATAAACAAATTAAGAGGCATACGAATTCTAATTTAGATCTAGTTTTTTCGTAATTTTTTACTTATTTTTTATTTTTGTGAAGTATTAGTTTTAGCATTTAGTTAAAAATATGTCAAAAATATAATTTTAAAATTACTTAAAAAGTTGAAAAACCTTAAAATAGTATATTTATGGAGGCGAATGATCAATTTACTCTCTTTGAACTAAGGGAAAATTATAGGAAATGAAATTTAGAGAAAAATACTATAAAACAATAGAAAAAATTTATATGCGATGGAGGTGATAGAAAAAAGGTTACACTAAGGCCTTGTTTGGAAACAAGTTTTTTTTAGTAATTTTTTAGTTTTTTGGCTAATATATGATGTAAAAAAAATTAGTATGTTTGAGATGACTTTTAAGTTTTTTACGAAAAGATGTACAAAAAGTAGAGAGAAAATGAAATGTTTGAATTTTTGTATAGGTTGTTAGCTTTTTAATTTTTTTTAGTAACTTTCTGACTAAAATCACCACTTGCCAAACAAGGCCTAATAGATGACAGTAAAAAATATAGGAGAGAGATAGAGACATATAAATAGGATCTAAAAGTAGTGGGACATAATAAGTCTTTGTTTGAAATGTGAGTTGATTTTTTGGCTTTTTAGTTTTTTTAGCTATTTTAGCCTGGAGCTAAAAAGTCTCGTTTGGGATAGACTTTTTGATTTTTTTACTTTTGTGAGAGAAAAAATGAAATGATTATGGTTTAGATGTAGCATTTTGTCATATTGACTTTTTAACTTGTTTTGTCTTTTAGTGTCTAAAATAGCCCCAACCTAACCCCAACATTCATGCCAAACGAACCCTCAATGAGATATTAGAAGTGGTAAGGGAGGTTGGAGGAGGAGTAGTAAAAGCATCCCTAATAAAACCCTTATATCCCCTCCTTACCTATTTTAAGAGGTTTGATGGCCCCCTATACATTTCCAGCAGCTCCCTTAAACACTCCCCTAAAATAGGAATTGCTACAGTGCCTCCGTATTTGTAGGGAGTCACTGTAACACCCTTATATTTATTTTATTTTATTTTATTTTATTTTTGTTTTGTACACATTTATGATTTTTATTTTTTTAAAAATTTATAATGAAAAATTATATTTTAATAGAATAGAGAAAAAATATAAAGTTTGTTAATAGAATAGAGAAAGAATAGGGAGTTTGTTGAAGGAAGTAGATGAAAAAGTGATTCCTAAAATAAGGAATGAATTTTTTAATAATATTTTAAGATAAAATATAAATAATCTGGTAGGGATGTTCTAAGAAGGGGAAGAGAAATGAAGGAGAGAGCAAGAGGGGTAAAAAGGAATATCTTAAATATATATTTCATGACTTTGTAATTATTTTTCAAAATCCATACAATGATTATAAAAAAATATTATATTGTAAAATTATTTGAGAAATGAGGGACAGCGAGAGGGGTAAAAAGAAATATCTTAAATATATATTTTATGACTTTGTAATTATTTTTCAAAATCCATACTATGATTATAAAAAAAATATTATATTGTAAATTTATTCTTTCCTAAGTCCTATTTTTCTATTACTAGTTAGACCCCCACGTGCTTTGCGCGTGGGCGTCGCGCCATCATTGGCTACGAACAAAGTTGTGACGATTACGCTATCATTGGCTAGGAATTATAGAATGAGACAAAGGCATGACAAATTGTCATTAAATTCTCTAAAATTCGTTGTATGAATTGAAAAAGGAGACAAAAAAATATAGATCGAATAATCAAATAATAAAAAATGAGGTAATTATTAGAAACAAGTTAGCCTTAAAAGTTTTGAATTCTATTATTCCATTTCAAATTAAACCTGGAAAATATGTCAAAAGTTTTTGTTAGTTAGCTTTGAAAGGAATGGAATAGCTTCACAATAATAGAATCCATGACCGTGCAAGCAAAATGAAATAACATGGATATGATTAAATCATGAATCAAAATGGAAATGATGAAATGGTCATTCTTATATTAGAAATTAGTTAGTTTTCAAAATCAGAAATCCTTCCTACCATTACCTATTTTTATAATTTAGGAATATGTCTAGATTTTCTACTAAGAGAGGAAACACTACATCTCAATAATGTGCCTGAGGAAAACATTATATTCACAAAAGAATCTACTTCCTCCAAAACAGATGGTGAGAGAGAACCTTAACTGAATGCAGCAACATGATGCAATATCTTGATAAACGACCTTCTCTCTAAAAAAACATTATATTGAATTGCAAAATAAACATCTCGATCTAACAAATGGTTGTTGGAACACCCACCCAATAATACGCATCTTCTGCACAAAAACTAACAGTGTTGGCCAAAAGCCACTGCACAACCAAGAAAAAGTCCACGTCGAAGGAAATAATTCTGTGTACAATCATCACAAGGCAAGACCCAGAGTGGTAAATAAAAATGGGAGATAAGTACACACACTAAATAGAGGAAACATAGAGCAAACAAACCATGAAATTGCTACGTTACGTGAAAAACTACATCGAGGACTTCGGTCCAATGGTTATCATCACTGCTGATAAGAACGAGGATCTGATTCAGTGTCACCAAAATAACACAATGTTTAGTAGGCATCAAATACACAACAAGCTAAACAGAAAATGCTCAATAATGGAAAAACTAAGCAATAAAATTATGATGAGAGAAACGTTTTACTTACATTTCCCATGGCAAGTAGTCCCTTGTCAAAAAATCAAATGATTCCCAAGAATGAGAACACTACGCCAAATGCTATTAATCCCAGCCCAATCTTTGTTTCATCATAGAGTTTCCAGTTCTTTCATTAATCAGAATTTTAAAATGCAACAATTCATAAAAATAGAGTTAATGTTATGAATGTGAAGAACCTAAATAAGTTAATTGCTTTGTATAACAAAATAAACATATAAAAGAATACCTTATCCGATGTCAATAAACACCAAACAATCAATAATGGGATTAGAGCATTTCAATTGCCAAACCAGTTTAAGAACATAGAATTAATACCAAAAAACAAGAAAGAAATCATCAAAATGGGAAAACTTTGACTAAACCATATGAGGGTTCTAGTCAATTAAATTTCAAAATTATATCAACCTTCAAACCAACTATAAAAGAATAAAAGTTCACAATTAATCGTTTAAGAAACTTTGTAATCACAACAATATATCAAATTATCAAATCACAAATAAAAACAAAGCAACCCAGTGCACAAGCTCTAGCTAATTACAAATGTTTCAAAGAACATGTACAATTATAGAGAATGAAATTGATACCTTAAACTGTTCGCCAACGACTTGCTTGTAAAGATTTGGATTGCAAAGAGGTAAGGCACATAAGCATCATAAGCACTCCATTCATCAAAAGAATTCCAAAGATCAGCCAATGTAAAATACTCAACATTTTTCCTCTCCCAATGGTGCCAAAACTTGTTCAGGTTTCTGATCTCGATCTGTACAGAGATCATAAATCAATCAATCATCAGACACATGAAACAATCATCATTACATTAGCATCAAAAGAATTTTAAGGAAAAATGTTGAAATGAGACAACAAACCTTGGGTAGGAACTAGGATGGAAGTGGGCCAATTTGTTCTCCTTTCTCTATCACTTTCTTGATAATTCCACCATCCTTGCAAATATTTACTACTATGATCCATGAGATGAGATCCACTTCAAACTAAATAACACAATTGGGAGGGACACCATTTCTACCTATGGCTCCATAACCCAAACGAGGAGCCAACATGAATACTGCCATATCCCCCTTATTCATGGTGATGATTACATGGTCCAATCCAGTAACCAGTTGACCTAACCAACCTATCAACAAACCAATCAAGTTGAAGGAAACCCAAAAGTAACTCAATGAAAATCAAGAATCACGACGAAATACTTTTGCATCTAAAAATACTAAGTTTTCAATGTTTTTGAATTTTCATGTAATGTCTTTAACGTAACTTAATGTTTTTGAATTTTAATGTAATGTCTTTCGAAAACCTATCTTCATGTAGTCTCATTTCCTTTGAAGAAAGACTTGATTTTTTGTTTAGGTGTAATTTATGAGATTATGTGATTTTGAAGACCATTTGAGACTTGATTGTTTGTGTTATTTAATGTTTTGTGGTTGAATCTATGTTGCTCCAGTTGCTCTAGACTTGGTGGGTCCACTACTTGGATGTGTTAGATGATGTGTTATAACTGCTATTGAAGTTTTGTTATTGTTATTGTTATCATTATCATTATGGTTCTATAAAGGAAAATTTTTATTGTTTATGTACTGTGGCAACTTCATTGCCTTTTGTGAATATTTGTGTGGATAACTATGGAAGAGTTCAAAATTAGCTCAACTGATTGAATGAAGGACTATTTGAACAATTAGTCAAGATTAACACGACTATATTATTTGAAAATAATTTATGGATGTAATAGGTGGTCATTATTATGTTCAAGTTCCTTTGTCATTAATTATGTTTGCTAGGAAAATATTATGTTTGAAGAATCATTCAAATTGATTATTAACAAAAATATTTAATTTGTGGACATTGATCTATGGAAATGTATATTTTGGATATTGTCCCTTCTGTATTATTGAGAATGCAATTGTTCTATTGGTGAATATTGAAATAAGGGGCTTATTGTTTGAAATCTTAAATCTAAATATTAGAAATGTATATGAATCTCATCAATGAACTTTAATCAAGTATTTGGGATATTTATCTAGTTGAAGTCGTTGTACTTATTAATTAATTTCCTTGAGATGTTCGCAGCTAACAGCCCATTGCCACCACTTGGAAAATTCAGGTAGAGAATTTTGTTACTGACACCTTTGGTTTTGAATCCATAGAATTTTGTGTTTATTTAATGGTGTTTACAAGAGTGAAAGGGATCTAAAGGCTTCTGCATGTGCTTTTCAAGTTGAGGCGGAAGTATTCTCTAACCCCATTGGTAAGATTATTTAGAATTTTTTCATGAGGGATAGAACAACCAAAAAAGAAAAGCCTTTTGAGTTGTGAATTTGGTTTGATCTTTTTGTTTTGTTCAAATATGAGACATTGGTATTTCAGCCATTTATGTTCCTGGTGGTTTCTTGAGCTATGGTTTAATTGGATTGTGATCTTTGATTTAATTAAACTATTACTACTGATTAAAGTCACATTTGAACGTCTAGATAACTGTTCTGTTCGAAAGTTGATGATGCTTTGGGTTATCTTAATGGAGGGTTGAATATTTTTTATTTTTATTTTTAAGATAACCTTCTCCTTGAAATTGTATGTGTCATGAGAAACACAGTCTCGTATGATCACTAATTAGGCACAATTATGAAGATAGATTATTTATTATTTAATATCGTATCTTTAGCTATTGTTGATTTGCTGAAAGATTGCTACTTTGTTTTCTTTTTATAAAATTGTCGTTTTGTTTGTTTTAACTGGAAAAATTGTGGTTATAGAGAGAAAGATGGAAACTTTGTTTTATTTTTACTTTATAAAATTCATAACTATAAAAGGTAAATTCATTAGTTAATTGGGTTTTTTAGTTAAAAGATGTTTTCAAATTAATGGTTTCTTTATATTAATTGTTAGGATTTGAATTTTTTCAATTAATTGACTTTGAAATTGAGGAACAATTTAAAATTCCCCTGTTGTTTTCATTAAACATGGTGACTTATAGGTTCACTTTTATAATTATTTAACAGTGTTCAAGATTAGGGGAATTAGGATTTGGTGAGGGGCACTATGTATTGTAATGAATATAGGTTGAAAGATTTTGTTTGAATGGAGTGACAGTGCATATTGTAATGGTGCATGATAGTACTTTTATAGTGATATTGGTGAGTAATTAGATTTTGGTAGTAGAATTGCAGTTCCAGTCCACTGTAATGTTTTGCAAAATGGTGAACAACCAGAAAGAGACTGGAATTGCACACCATTAGAGAAGCCCTCCAAATTTTTTGGTCTACATATTCAAGCATATTATCAAATAGGTGGTGTGCCTAATTTGTGTATGCACTAACAGACACCCATGAGAACAAAGGCATGCAAATCAAATCTTAATGCATCCATAGATAGCCGAAAAAGGAGTAGAAAACCACTAAATTACATACCAGATGGTGGAGTTTGGCCTGTAGTCTGTGAACCCAGAAACAACGAAGCTGAACCAAGATAGGAAGTGAAACAGAACAAAGAGTATATACATATATGTGTTTGTATATATATATATATATATGTGTTTGTCTTCAGCTGAGAAAGAATCATTTGATTGCAAATTTGATCCACCGAACAGAAGAAAATTCTAGGAGGGGAAAGATAGTGGGCTTGACCTGGTTCTATTGCAGTACTTAACAAAAGACACGTACACCTACCTCACTCAAATGGTGCACGGCTAACAAGACACATCAACCAGCATATTAGGAGAAAGAGTTAAAAAATGACATGTAAGCGAATTCTTTGGGCTGAACCACTGCTTTTGTTTGTAGCATATGGAGAATTCTTGGAAAAGCAATTGAGGGATAGATAAATGGTGGGTAATTTGTAGCCCACGTGTCTAGCCCACATCTGCAAGGCAAGGACAGAGTTATTACAAACCAAACAAATAGTAACGTTATACCACTCTTACCTTCTTTTTATATATGTTATAGATTTCTCATTGTACTAATAGTAGAAGCATCGAGTTGAATTTTATCTTTATATGATTATTTGGATAAAATTTTTTAATGAGTTTTAAATTTTGAATTTAACATTTTACAATTAGTATTTTTTAACTCATATTTAAAATTTATTTTTATGTCATTTAATTTGAACCTTTTTTTTATGATAAATCAAAATGACAGTATCAGTTTAAAAAAAAAAAAAATCATCAGACTATATGCTAATGCCACATTTGTTATCTGAAATGAAACATTGGGATACAAGTATATTCCGATGAGCTAAGTAAAACGGGTAAAAACATCTCCAATGGTGTGCCATTGGAGCTGCTATTGCCAAATTATGGCAGCAGTTGATAGAAAGGTAGCTCCAATGGCAACTTTTAGCAGCTGTTATCTTTGGCAAATGCCAAAGTTGCCAAGTCAGCTTCAACCAACCGTTTCCTCCTTCCTTCCCTCTCTTTTTCATCATCCTTTCCAAACACAGTTTCAATATTCATACTCCACAGTTTCATCATCCTTTCCAAATTTCCAAACAATATTCACCAAACAATTTCCAAAATTCACCCAACAATTTCCAAAATTCAAAAAAAAAATTAATTTCACTAATTTGAAGCAATTTCCAAACAATTAATTTCCAAAATTTCCAAATTTCGAAATTTCCAAAATTCACCCAAGAATTTCCAAACACAGAAAATTAGAAAATCAATTTCAACAATTAAAATAAATTTCACCAATTTCACAGAAATTTTAAAAAAAAATAGAAAATCAACACAATGAGGAAAAAAAATACCTGACAGAAATGGGTTGATCTTCCTCGTTCTTTGGATGATCTTCTTTGTGTTCATCATTAGGGTTTCAATTTTTTTCATCGCCGATCCATTGTAGGAGTCAGACAGAGAGTGACAGAGAGGAGTGAGAGAGAGGGTTTCAATCTTCTTCATCGCCGATCAAAGAGAGAGAAAAGAGAGTGAAAGTGAGAGTGAGAGGGATCGACACCATCGCGGCTTGAATAGAGAGAGAAGAGAGATGAATCTGAGAGAGAGAGAGACGGAGACTGAGAGGGACAAGGAGGAGGAAATGATGAGAGAGAGAAAGTGAGAGAAGAGAGTGAGAGTAAGAGTGAGAGAAAAGAGTGAGAAGATTCAATCTTCTTCATTGCCAATCAAACAGAAAGAGAAGAGAGTGAGAGTGAGAGTGAGAGTGAGAGACGAGAGTGAGAAGATTCAATCTTCTTTATCGCAGATCGAACAGAGTGAGAAAATAGATGAATCTGAGAGTGAGTGAGAGAGAGAGAGTGAGAGAGAGAGAGAGACGGAGACTTAGAGGGACAGGGATGAGGAATGAGAGAGACAGTGAGAGAGAGAGGAAGAAAATGTTGGATGATTCTACACAAATCATCTCAATCATTCAAGATCAACACGTAGACGATGGTGATGACAATTGATAGAGTCGTTGTGCTCTGTTTGGCTTTAAAAAAAAAATAGTTAAAATAAACACCAGCTTGTGTCAAACGGTCATGTCTTCAAATGGCTATTATATTGAAATGATAATATTTTGAATTTTTATAACTAGAAACTCTTCATCTGAAATTTTTTTTTTTCACAATAACCATTGCACATTTCATTTTTCTTTTCTCCTCTCTTCATCTCAATTTGATTTCACAATAAACTTCCAAAATGATATTATTTTTAGTTTTTTCACACAATCACTATGGAAGGTTCATAAAAAATAAAGAGAATAAAATCTTTTACTACTGAAGAAGATGTGGCAATTTGTAGAGTTTGGTGTCACATTACTGAAGATCCAATTGTTGGGAATTCGAAATCTCATGCTCATTTTTTGGAAAGAATTTTTGAAAATTATTGCTCGCTGGAAAATGATCACTCAAGAACACAAGTGTCAATCTCATCTCGATGGTGTGTAATTATGAAATGTTGCAACAAATTTTGTGGGTGTTTGGTACAAGTCGAAAATCTACACCTAAGTGGAATGTCTCAAGTTGACATAGTAAGATTTCATATTCATTTATTTATGTTAGTTTATTTTGTCTTATTTAAAAATGAACTAATTAATTAATGTAATAATTTATTAATACAGATGCTTCAAGAAAAACTGTTGCACTAGCAAAATGAAAACAAACATTTTACTTTTGAACATTATTGGCCAATCTTACAAAATAATATCAGGTGGCAAGATGTAACTCCTACAAACATAGTGAAGTCAAAGGATACATGCACCATTTTTCCCTAATTCAGACCCCGATTCTCCTATGGATAACTACATTTCTCTTGAAGATGACGCCAGTCCAAGTGTTGGTAATAATCTAACTGTTGGTGAGGGCAGTGTCTCTGCAAGGGGTAAAAGACCTATGGGTAGGAAAGTTTCAAAAGAATTATTTAAGAGAAATCAAGTCGTTGAAGCCGAAATCCAAAAAATAAGCATACAATTGAAGACATTTAACCAACACCTTGCTGAGAAGGAAAAGAAAAAAGATGAAAGAGAAGAAAAAATGATTCAAGCACTGCAAGAGATGAAAGAAGTTGAGATCAGAAAACAAGAATATGAGATAATGACTACGGACATTTCTCATTTGGACACTCAGACGAAAGCATATTACACAATACGAAAAAATGAGATTTTCGCCAAGTGGTCTTTAAATGTCAGCAGCCCAAATAACTATTTCTCCATGCCTCCTAATAAATAATTATGACATAATGTATTTTTTTGCAATATCATTTATTTTTTAATATAATTGTTAGTCTTTATTTGTAATGTCATTTTTTTATTTTGTAATGAAATTTCATTTTTTTTGACTATTTTCTACAACAGAATGTAATATTATTTTTGCAATGTATAATGTTGACTATTTTTTAGTATAATTTAAATTTTTCAATAAAGTAAAATGAAAAAATAAATATATTTTTTGAAATGAAGGCAATAAAAAGATAAAATACATTAACTGACATTAAATGAAGATAATTTTATTATAATAAAAAGACATTAAATATATATTTTTTTTCCAATTTTTAATTTTTTATATTTGTCTAGTCGGGAATAATATAAATATATAATTTTTTTTTACAAACAATTAAAAAAATGTCACAAAAGACAAAAAATAAACAAAAATAAATCACAAAAAAATTATATCCAAACAACACTTATAAACTTGGTGGAAATGTTGGTTGAGATTTGTCAAAATAACAAATAACTATTGGAATATCATTAACTTGATGGGAAAATTAGTTGAGATTTGTAAAAATAACAAATGACCATTAAAATATTATTACTATAATTTTAAAAAATAATACTATTCATTGTCAAGTCATAATAATAACAGTGGCAATATAGCAACAACTAGTGAAAATGCTCTAAAAAAACTCAATGAAATCAAATTAAGCATTTAAAATTGATAAAATTTTATTTTTTATGAATTTGTTTTTAAAATTTTATAGTATACCCTTTATTTTAGTTTTTTTTTTTTTCCTTCTAATTCTAATCGAATCCGAACCGTTTATAGTTTCACTGTCGTGATTTCGAGTGACGACTTAAAAAGACCGACAAAAATGTAAGCAAATCATGGATTGCCACGTCATAGGTTTAGTACGTGTGTGTCGGTCATGGACTCTATGAGAGTCGCATTCGGGTCTGTTTACAGACTGTACCATAAATTTACCGGTTGTAGCCGGTTGTTCTTCTATAACAACTCAGGGACTGTCGGTGGACTCAATATTTTTTTTACCGGTTGTTGTTTTCTAACATGCCATTTTTTATTTTTTTATTGTTTTTAGATAGAAAATGATTTTCCTAATCACATGCATACCTTTTTTTGGCCCCACAATTGCATATACCAAAATAAAATCTTGTAGATATATGTATCTCATTTTCTTTAAATATTTTTTTTTTTCCTTTTTTTTTTGCCATTCATTTGGGTCCTTTCTATTTGTAATTTTTTGGGTTTTCTTGGTAAATATTTTTTGTAGTATTTGTTTGATTAATGCTCATTAGTTTCATGCCTTTCTAAAGAAAAAATATTTACAAAAAAAATAATCTAAAATGATGTGACAATAATTTTGAAATTACGAATCAAAATAATGAATGTTTTGAATTGAAATGAAAGAATAAAAAAAAAACACATTATTCTTTATAAAAATTATATAATGTTTGTATATTATTACTTCTTTTTGAAATAATTTTTTCTTGCAAAAGTACAACCCTCTTTGATTTTCAAGAACATTTTTTTCTAATCATTGTCTAAAATTCTAGAAATGACAAAACATGTTCGAGAATGTAATTTATTGGCAAACAACTTTGAATATTTATCACATGCAAAAAAAATTTAAAATATGATTTTATTTTCAAAAAAAAAGCCACACCAATGCATTTTTTTCACATCATTTTGTTATGAGAATTAAAAGGTAAATTTCTTGTATTCTACTACTACTGCAGCTTTTTAAAGTAGAGAAGTAGCCTTTCCCTTGAAGTTACATAAAACCCAAAAGTGTAATCAAGATTTTTTTTTTTTTAAAAAAAAAAAAAAACCCCTTTTTTGTGTTGTTCTAA